GCCTTGCTAAAACAATTCATGTGTTGTTGGAGGTCTTCAGCAGAGTGGGCAACAATGGCTGCATCATCAGCAAAGAGGAAGTCCTGCATGCATTTCAGCTGGACTTTGGTCTTTGCTCTCAATCTAGAGATTAAAGAGCCTTCCATCTGATCTAGTCCAGAGACAGACATATTCTGCTGCATTTGCAAAGGCGTGCTTCAGCATGACAGCAAGAAACAGGGTTGGCGCGAGAACACAGCCCTGTTTCACTCCGCTTCAGATGTCAAAGGGATCTGATGTTGAGCCATCAAAGACTACAGTGCTTCATTCCTTCATGAAAGGACCTGATGATGTTAAGGAGTTGAGGTGGACATCCAGTCGTGGGAAGTATTTTAAAAAGGCCATCCCTGCTAACCAAATCAAAGGCCTTTTTGAGATCCATGAAGGCCACAAAGAGTGGCTGTCATTGTTCCCTACAGTTCTCCTGCAACTGTCTGAGGGAGAACACCATGTCAGTGGTGGATCTATTAGCTTGAAATCCACACTGTGATTCTGGATATACTCTGTCTGCAAGCACCTGGAATCTCTTCAGTACAACACGGGCAAGCAGCTTCCCTACAATGCTGAGAAGAGTGATCCCACAGTAGTTATTGCAGTTGCCCCTGATTTGATGCTGTACTTGGGCAGCATATCTCCAGCCAGCTCAGAATTGTGGAGATATCCTCGGGGACTATGCCACGGTAGTTATTGCAGCCGCCCCCGTCTCGTTTTCATACAATGTGACAATGTTTGCGTCCTTCATGTCCTGTGGTACTCCATCTTCCCTCCACCAAAGACAAAAGACTTCATACATTTTGGTGGTGATGATCTCTTTACAGCACTTCAACAGGGATGTAATCCTTCCCAGGTGCCTTGCCGGCATCTGGGAAGGACGGTAGTCAGGAAAACTTTCAATAAAATGAAGAAAACTGGAGGCAAGGACCCAATTGTGCTTCTGTAAGAGAAATCTGTCTATGACTATTTTAAAAATTGTGCTTGATTAGAAGGTATAGCTGAAAATGAACAGCTTTCAAATAATGAGTTAGCAACTAGGCTTTATGTACAGTACTATATACACTTATTGTCTCGCTGGATCAAGCTGCACCTGTTTCAGATTCTGGATTAAAGATGTGTACACACACCACCAGCTTTAACATCAAACTGTGAGGAACTGACCTCCAAAGTAAATTTGTACCTGACCATAGGAGAGTATGATTCTTTCCTAGTTTTGGAAAACAAGGTACCATTTTTTCTAAGTATCCTGAATGAACATCACTTTTCACAAGCATTATTTAGTGCATTAAATTATGTTTCTTTAAAGTGTCAGTAAAAGTCTTTTAGGCCACCGTGTACATACTCATATCAAAGGTTTTGCATTCAGTTATTATTCTCCAAAGTAAAACGATATAACCAAAGTGTGTTGAGTTTATAGCTGATGATGATAATCATAATTAGAGATGGGCATGAATTGGAAAAAGTGTGATTAATTTTCAATTAATGATTCATCAAGGCAACAAATCACAAATAACAAATTTACAATTTTTTCCTGATGATTCACCAATTCATTTTGCCTTTAAAATTGTATAAAACAGGCCCTCAAGCACCTAGAGATACCAAAATTGCAGAGAAACTTCCCCTGACTCTTCTACAATCCTTCCAAGTTTGGTGAGGATTGGGTTCCAGACACTCGAGTTACACATTCACAAATTGGGTTCCCCCATGAAAGTGCCCTTTAGCAGCTGACTTGGGAGAAAAATTCCAATCTTCACCAAAATTGGACAGATTGTAGAGGAGTCAGGGTAAGCTTCTCTGCAATTTTGGTGTCTCTAGGTGCCTGGGGGCCCATTTTATAGCCCAACAAATTGATGATTCAAAAATCGCTAAAAATTAATTCATTTATATTTGTTGGGGACATGAATTCAGATGAATATGAATTGACAAATTAGTGATTTCTGACAAATTTTGCAACTTGTTTTTTTTTTAATTTTGTGCCCATCTCTAATCATAATATACCCCATGGCTGCCTACTATCCCAACAGGTAACACAAATAAGGACACCCTCACATACAAAGGGCATCAACCTCTAGCTGAAACTCTAATTACAGCCAACTAAATACAAAGCTCTAGAAATCCCCTTCTCTGAATAATAGTGATACATGCCTCACAATCATGGTAATACTCTACGTATTAGTCCAGTATGGAGAATAATTTCCTGTATAGAATAAAGAATCCAAATAGGAACCATTCAGAAATTATGTCTTGGGACTGCATACTTCTTGAATCTTCATCATTTAAAATAACACAGAAGCTCATGATTGGTCATTCCATACAGCCCCCATGGGCCAACTGAAATAACAGAGCAAGAACCTTATTGCCACATCCCCATTGTTGTACAAAGCCCCTATACGAAAAGAGATTTGGAAGCTTTTTAGCAGCACTTGAACCAGGGGTATTGAAGCCATAAAACTGGGAGTATAGTGCCTTCAAATCTACAGGCATTATCAAGAAGAAAATGCTGTGCCTGGAGCCAAGGGAGCCTTCTAGGAGCAGGAGAACGTTTTTGCAAAGTCTCTAAAGAATAAATTTAACAGTTATTAGACATCTCCGCCCTGTTACTGCATTGGCTGAACTTTACATCACAAGAGAAGATGCATGGGATTTTCAGGAAGACATCTGTTATTTAAGAGTGAGAAAGACCTCAGCACAAATAGGCAACTGCAATCCCTATGGGCTGGAAACAACTTAACCCCTTATGGATGGGAGGACATAAGCCCTAGCACAAGTTTCGAAAGCAACACTGCACTGAGATACATAGTATCACAACAAATGCAGAAAAGGAGCAGCCACATAAATGGAAATATGCACCAATAATGCAACTCAGTATTTTAAATGGTTTCTATTTATTTCTTTATATAAAAAAGAACAACTTTTAAGTGGGACATTAAAGGTGACAACTCCAGTAACAACAAAATGGATCCCAATATATATATGATCTCCAATCCAAAGTACTTTTTTTTTTCAGAAAGAACAGGTAGGAGTTTGTCCTTTCATGTTTAGACTGCAACTACCAAAATTCTCCAGGCAAAATTCTAGAAGTTGCAGCCCTCAAACATAAATCTGCAGACTTCTAGATTTTGCTGCAAGGGTTTTCAGGTAATTTACCTCTGATGCTGCAACTTTTGTTAAATTTTGCCTTTTGTTAAATTTTTTTTTAAAATGAAAGCTGTCATGATGCTTGCTGGGAGTCATAGTTCTTTAGCAGGAGCTCACTATAGTCTAACAGATCATCAGACTAAAACTCCCAGTGTCCTCCATGCCCAGGAGGCCATGACTGCCACTGGCTGGTTACATAATGGTGGTTGACAAATCAAAGACAAGTCATTTGAAAGCTCCTCTCTACCCTGGGACTTTGCTCCTAATCCGAACCTACATAAACACAATGGCCAATACATGCCATCTATATTCCAATATGGTTCCTAAGGCCACCAAGAGACAGAAGATTAGTTGTAAGTCAAGTGCTGGATCTGTCGGTGATCTGTGGTCACTTGGCAAGAATTTCTGTTGCCTAATTAGTAACAATATTAATTTCACCACCCATATTAAGCAACAGGAATGCAAAAAAGCTGGGGGCAAACAAGTACTCTGCAAGGATTGTAGGTTCAATTTTGAGATCTTCTGAGTTCTAGTAAAAAATTGCATGGGACATGGTGGCACCGCAGAAGCCTATGTGCTGCAAGGTCAGAAGACCAAGCAGTTGTAAGATCGAATCCACGCAACGGAGTGAGCTCCCGTCGCTTGTCCCAGCTCTTGCTGGCCTAGCAGTTCGAAAGCCTGTAAATGCGAGTAAATAGGTATCACCTCGGTGGGAAGGTAACAGCGTTCCATGTCTAGTCATGTTGGCCACACGACCACAGAAACTGTCTTCGGACAAAAACCCTTGCTCTATGGCTTGGAAACTGAGATAAGCACTGTGCTCTAGAGTTGGACATGACTGGACTAAATGTCAATGGCAACCTTTACCTTTACCTAAAAAAATGAACTGACTAAGCCCAAAGTCTGTTCACATCTGCCCTAGGCCTGAATGATCAGGCTGAGTTCACATGTGATCAGTTTATTGAAGTCACCATTGTTATCAGGCTTATGTCACACTTTAGAGAAAAATCTCAAAGATGGTTAATACAGTTATAAGTTCTAAAGGGAGAGAAAAAACACATACAGCATTAGACTTTTATTGAACATCGTTATTTTTCATCCATTTTTAGTTGAACTGAAACCAGAGTACCCAGAATGTTAAGAAAATTTAACTAGAATTTATCATACATACTATAATTTTCCATCTTTGAATAGATCAGTCTTTATTCCACTTATCTGTATTAAAAAAACAACAAACTGTTTTGCCTTAAGAAAACAGCTTCTAAACAATATGCACCCTCCCTTTATGATGGGAGAGAAGCACAGTATGCAAGACCTGAAGACTGTACACCCACCTTTACTTGTCTTCTGATTCCACATAACAGCATCCTACCTAAATAAGGAAATTACAAAAGAAGGTAATTCTCTTAAATCAGCAAAGGTCATGACAGAATAGGCAAAATCAAAAAGGAAAGTGTAAAAGATGAAGGGACTACAACCATACACTTTTCACGGCAAGAGAAACTAGCAGGACTGCCAATCTTCTCAGCTAAGGCAATTGCTGAAAGCAGGTAAGCCATGGCCTATAAGGAATGGTTTACCAGCAAACTCTCAGTGGAGGACTATCTGAAGACACTATGAACACACAGTTTTTATCCATTCACTGCAAAAAATCCAAACCTGTTTTGGAATGTAGTACCACAATTAGTGGGCTGGATTTCAGAATGAACATATTGAGTTGGTGTTTCCACAATGCAAAAAGCCATGACACCCACCACCCCAATTAATAGTTAAACAATATTACAGCAAACTTGACTTTTACAGGCCTTCCCTTAAAACTCCATGTCAAAAATGTTTCTAAAATTCTTTATTGCTATAAACAAATACATTTATTTCACAAAACAACCTACAAGGTACGTCATAACACATGTTTTACCATGAGTGATACTGTCGAAAAGACAGCTGCACTCACAACATAATTCTACATGTTTTAGGACTAAATATGCCGCATTTACTTGCAACACATCTATCTTGAAATGATTTAAACTTCCTATTTCTTTAACATCCAAGTCTCAACAATCAAAAGAGGAAAATCAATGTCTAAAAACATATAGAATATTATACTATTTCAAACAGCAGAGTTATTATAAAAGCCAAACTAAAAACAGTTTTATCTTCATTTTAAGCAAAGGTAAAAGAGTACACAAACACAATTTCAATTTAAATGGAATGCATGCAGAGGTAGGGGATGAGAACACAAGCCTCACATTTAACGATTAGAAATTTTACACTTAGCTGCATTAACAGAAAAATAAAGCAGCACGTTCTTCTGCCTGAGCAAAATTTCTTGCATTTAACTATCTTCCGTTTGGTCAAGAGTGAAGTCAGTTTGTTCTTCTCCTTCTCCACCTTCTCCTTCTCCACCTTCTCCTTCTCCACCTTCTCCTCCTTCTGCTTCTTCCTCTTCCTCCTCAGCTTCTGCCTCTTCGTCCTCCTCCTCTTCTGCAGGTTCATTTGATTTGTCCTCTCCTTCCTGCTGCTCAGCATTTTGATCTGTAACTTCAAATGGATTCTCTCCCTAATAGGAAAATAGATTTTATTTTAAAAAACCAATACTCTTGAACAAATGATGTTGACTGAAGAATACAAGAGAAACAAGAAGTAAATCTAAATCCAGACAGTTTCCACTATGTTATTTTCAAAGGTTTATGTGTGTTTTTATATACCAAGAGCCTGTAATCTACACTTCACAAGCAAGGAGAAATTCACACTGCATCTGAAACGTTTTGTTCTAAGCTCAAAAAATGTACTCCTGCAGAACACACACACAAAAACACATGAATAAATAAATTATTTTCTTATAATTTACAGCTCAGGGACTGCATGCAGACATATCTGGTTTGAAACTGCGGCCATATTATATTTGTACAGACAACCCAATCCCAAGCACAGAGCAAACCACCACATATGCCTACCAATTCCTTCTTTCAACTTCTGTACTCATGTGCCTTAGGTGAAGCCATTCCCCAAAGACTTATTTACACCACCATCCCATGTATGTTTACCTAAAAATTAAATTTTACTGTCTTTCATACTGCAGTGTACTACTTAGACAACTTATCTGGTTAAAGACAAGGCAGAAACTAGGTTCAATACAATTGCTATTTGGCCACTTCTGCCCACCTCATAGGGGGCACTAAAAAGTGTTTTGTTCCAGAAGAAACCTGACTACAGTGGTGCCCCGCATAGCGACGATAATCCGTGCCGAAAAAAATTGCCGCTATCTGGATTCGTTGCTATGTGGGGGCAAAAACCCATAGGAACGCATTAAAACACGTTTAATGCGTTCCTATGGGGAAAAAACTCACCACTATGCGGAAATCCTCCATCCGCCCGCCATTTTCTTGCCCGGTAAGTGAGGAAAGGGCGCAAAAACACTGCTGGCAGCTTTTTTTCCCGGCGGCCATTTTGGAACCGCCGATCAGCTGTTTTTAAAACATCACTATGTGAAAATCGGTAAGCGAAACGCTTACTGATCATCGCAAAGCGATGTTGTGCCATATAAAACATCACAATGTGATCGCAAAAACCTCATCGCTATGCAGATTCGTCATTAAACAGGGCGCTCGTTAAGCGAGGCACCACTGTACTCCTGTTAGTATCATGCCCCACCAGCAGACTACATTTAGTTCTCCTACTATCTAGTCTACAAGAGCAAAGCCAGACCTATGTCCACTGAAGTTTTCATAGCTTAAGAGTCAACTGTTTTACTTTCCACTTACTTGACTTACACCAAGTTAAGACTGATGTTAACAACTAATACTTATGGCTGAATTTGTTTCTATGAAAGTTGCACTATTTGATTAAAATACCTTAATATGTCTGTAATCAGTCAGGTGGATTTTTATGTATTATTTTTCCAAAAGTGCTTATTAAAATTGCCAATGGCAAGAATGATCTTAATCCTATTGTCTGCTTCCTGCTGGAAAAAAGGTTCTTCTGAGATGACATCAGTTACAACATACTTATATATCATGCAGAAACTAATAAACTTATTTTGTGCTTCCAAAATTTTAATATGCAAATATATGCATATTTAATTTATTAATTAAGGCCACTCCTAGAATTTTTTTACTGGATTGTTTCTACCAGTAAAATAAACCTAATTTTTTAAATACTAGAAAAATGTACAATTTATGACTACTTTGTACAGAATAAGACAAAGCAACAGAATCATGAAGGGAGGAGTGTCACTTATTTTTAAATTGGTGACTGCTGTTGAAAAATTAGCTCTATAATGCAACCTTACCTTGACGTAACGTTCATATCGTGCCTTCACAATTGGGTTATTCAAGATGCTGGTAGCTGTTAGTACACTCTCTCTTTTAATTTGCTCTTTGTAAGTCTGCAAATAAGATTACACTTTAATAGCAAGCACTACAAACCTACTGCAAAGGAACAGTGGTTACTGAAGAGAAAAACAAGAATTTAATTCTTCCTTAATATTTATGATGTCTATACTGTATAGCAGTTACATAACTCACATACTTACAAAGATTTGGCTTAGGTCGCCTACTTAAGAAACTGCAGAAACAGGCACTCTGTAAATCAACTTTCATTGTGACTCATTGATATAATCCAGAGAACACTTGTTTCCCATCCCATTTAATGAAGTTCAACTGAACAATACTAAGAGACTATGACAATTCAGTTTGACGAAATTGGTTTTTTGCATATAACATAGTAAGAGCATTAATCTAATAATTCAAAATGATATACAGTGGTGCCTCGCTTAGCAATTGCTTCGTTTAACGATGAAATTGCTCAGCAATGACTTTTTCGGAGTGATCTTGCGCTCCGTTTAATGATGGTTCCTATGGGCGATTTTCGCATAGCGATGTTTGGGACTATGCTTCGCATAGCGATGACAGTTTGGGTCCCCGTTTCGCTTAACGATGGTTTTGACAGCCTCATGTTGGCTGTTTAAAAATGTTTAGAAATGTTTTAAAATGTTTAGAATGTTTGAAATCATAAGTGCACTTAATAAACCCTTTGTTAAACTAATATGACTTTGTTCCGACTCTTTTTAAATTTGTTGTAATTTTTCCCCCCACTGAGATGCATTGAATAGGTTTCAATACATTTCAACTGGGGAACCGTGTTTTGCTTAGCAATGTTTCCTATGGCGATTTTCGCTTAAGGACGGCAATCCGTTCCCATTGGAACGGATTATCCAGTTTTCAATGCATTTCTATGGGGAAACCATGTTTCGCTTAGCGATGAAATCGCTTAACAGCGATTTTTGGGGAACCAAATATCATCGTTAAGCAAGGCACCAAAGCCCATCAAATGAATCAACTGCTGAACATGATTTGATTTCACTTTTAATCAGCTTTTGTAATCAATGTTTATTATGTTGAAACTCATTCCTTTTAAGTCTTATTGGCAGTATTTAGTCAGAATAAATGCTTTTTTACAAAGCTGTTACTTAGACCTGCCACAAACTTATACAAGTCTGAGTTTTAAAACATGCTTAGTAGCATTCCCACATTCTTCAAAGCATGAACCACCAACCCAACAACATTTGGAGGGTCCACTCCACTTGAAGATAAAAGATGATACAATTTATTCTTTATTTTTACTATTATTCAAAAATACCAGATATAGTCAATCAAAATTATAAAAACATTGATTGGTATTATATAACAGGTCTAAGTATCTGTTAAATATTGGCACAGTATGTATGCTGTTCCTAATACTGCCATTTTTTGTAGCCCTTACGGTGTTATTTTTGAGATCTGCAACTGGTAATACTATGAGAAATTTCTTGATATTGTTCCCAAAGTCCCAATGACTACGGGGACCACTGAAGTGTGTTTCACCCAAAAGCAAAGTGGTGGGTTGCCAGGTCTATGTATTTTGTTAGTTTTTCCAATTCTCTATTTTCAACTCTGGCATCCCTGGAATTGCAATGTCAATGATCCAGACAATTCTTCCTTCTATTACTACTATCTCTGATGTGTTATGTTCAAGGTGTCTGTCAGTTTGGATTCAGAAAGCCCAAAAGATCTTGACTTCATCATTTTCTGACACCTCTACCTGATGTTCCCATGTGTTTTTGGAGACTGGCAGGCTAAAAATTTTTTTTGCATACTGACCAGTACACTAATTTTGCCACTCTATCATGTCAAAATTTGTTGTTGTTGTTGTTGTTGTTGTTGTTGTTGTTAAAGGGGACATGGTGGCGCTGCGGGCTAAACCGCAGAAGCCTGTGCTGCAGGGTCAGAAGACCAAGCAGTCGTAAGATCGAATCCACGTGACGGAGTGAGCGCCCGTCACTTGTCCCAGCTCCCACCAACCTAGCGGTTCGAAAGCATGCAAATGCAAGTAGATAAATAGGGACCACCTCGGTGGGAAGGTAACAGCGTTCCGTGTCTAAGTCGCACTGGCCATGTGACCACGGATGATTGTCTTCGGACAAAACGCTGGCTCTATGGC